GAATCTGTGACCACATAGAGTTCACCATCTCGGCCGCCAATGGCATTGCGACCAAACCCAACTGCACAATCGGCTAGCATTTTCCGATTGGTTTCCCATTGGGGGTCGCACCTCCAACAGGCATCAATGTGGTTACTAGTAAAACAGGGGGCGGTCATGTTGTCTGCCTCCAACTGCCTTCTTGAGTTCCTGATTGCACAATACACGCACACACAATCTCTCAAAACACGTAACACTAAGAAGAGTTCATATTTAATTTGCATTGGTTAACTAGTCAGTGAAAGGTGTGAATTAGATACTACTAACCATCTGGTTGCATCTGATATCTGCATCAGAGAACGAGCAGAGAATGCAAAGCTAGCAGGTAATAAGATTGCTAAGAAGATGATGCAGGACCATGACATCTTAGTAAAAGATACTTAGGATTTAGTTAGTGGCTAGGTTATATAAATTTGGACATTGAGCATCCTGAGGAAATTCCTTTGATACATATACAGGAGTTTGAGTAGTGAAGTAACCCTACAAAGTCACTGACACAAAGGAACACAAGAGTTAATGGGTATGAAAAAATGGATGGAAGTAGCAATTTAATTTGCTTATAGGACTCTTTTGGGGGTAGCTGAAATAGTTAACTATTTCATTTTTTTTTTTTTTATGTGGAGGTTATGGATTTAAACTGGAGCGAGGTAGTAATTTATGCTGTTATAGGCACTAAAGAAAATTGTTCCTGTCTGTATTTTAGTGTGCTTACAGTAACCATCAAGTCGGTATTGAAAGAACAATTTAGGTAAGGGATTACTGTGTTGGGCAACACTGTATTTGAAATGCCCTTGACAAAATTTTAAAGCTTGTCTTTGGATTTAAGTCAAATAATTTTTTAAAAATACCCTCTTAATTTAATTATGTGAAAGTGAAATTTTATTATCTCATATTAAAATGAGGTTTTATTTTGATTCAGTTTCTGCTTAAATCTTAGTCAATTCTAATCTTAATTTTCATAATGTATCGTGGTCGTACATAGTTAGAATATAACTTATTGTGTTTGAATAACTATCATCATATATTGAATTCTTTTGCGATGATGTTTGAACTTTGACCTTAAAGAATGAATCGGATTAGTTCAAATTTCTTATATTTCTCGTTTAGTTTCTACTTTTTTGTTTGCCATGAAAAAAAACTAGTTATAATTTATACATCGGATATATAGTTAAATTAAGTTCATTCAAATATTTATCTTGATGACCCTGAATTTGTATTTCTATGTGTAAACTAAGAAGTTACGAAAATATTTAACTTAGATCGGACATAGGATTAGAATATTAATTATTACTATATTTACAGTCTTATTTCATGAAATTAGAATTCTAACTAGAACTTAAAAATTCTAAATTGGAATTCACAAAATTAAAGTGCAAGTTATGTTTTAACCATGCATGTTAATGACAACATAGATATCTACTAAAAATTCAGTAGAAATCAACACTCATAGTCGAAATCGTAAATGAATTTTTCGGAAAAGTAACAATAAGATAGACTAAAGATGTTATGGAGATGGGAAAGAGTCTAGGTTTTGTAGGAGGGTGGGGTGATTCTTCATTTGTAACTGCTGGCAATAATAATGATGGTGAGTAAATAGACTGAAAAGTTAGCTAGTGAGAGGACTGTGGTCTCCTCTACTTGTACATTGAATTTCACTTCTGTTTAGGGTTCATATTCTGGTGGGTCTGTACGTCGAGCTCTTAACAAAATAGCTTGGTATAGATTTGCTTATTTAAGATGGGAAGAAACTGGTATGCCATTTGTGTTCTGTCGGGGAGGAAGAAGAAGACACGGCTTTCATTACCACCAAAAGTATAAAGAAATTCAGCTTGATACATGGAATTGGTTCCACAGTTCCCCAAGGCTAAATAAAAAATAAATTTATTTTAAGTATAGTTTAAATTTTAATTTTATAAATAAAACTATAGTGCAAATGAGATAAATACTTAAATAAATAATAATAATTCTAAATTAATTATCCATTTAATTCAAATTAGATAATTTTTTAATCATTTTTTGACAAATGAAAAAATAAAATTCTATCCTTGTGATATTAAACATATGAGTGAAACATAATTGATTATATATATATATATAATAATTAACATATAAAAATTGATTATATATATATTATTCCATTTTATATTTTTTTGGGTAATGGGCCTCAAGGATTTTTAAGAGAAGTTTTGCATAAATGGCTAACTCTTCAACTTGAGCCTTTAGATTTCAGTTCGGCCCAACAAGCGACGTCGTTTTTACTGTATTTTTCTTGTAGGAAAAAGAAAAAAGAAAAAAGAAAGAAAAAATCTTGCAACGGGATATTCTTGCCTTGCCCATGTCAGTGACAATCAGTTGGTAACCTCCAATCCTCCATCATTCTTCTTTTTCTGTAGATTTTTTCCTCTGCAGAGTTGAGAAGCTTTCTTATCTCTGAGTACAGCGAACAATGACGATGTCGAATCTTTTATCTCCAACATCTCCGCTCACCTTCTCTTCCAACAAAGCTATTTACTGTGCTCCTTTACTCTTCTCCTTCAGACCCCCTGTGCTTCGCTCCCTAACTAGCTTAACAAAGAAAACTAGAAGCCAAAAATTGAAATTCAATAGAAGAAGTAGACCTGTGACTGCGCAATCTAATGGCAGCAACTCAGCTGACCCGCCAGACCGGATAATCTCCGCCGTCTGTTACTTCTACCCTTTCTTCGACGGTATACAGTACGGCAAGTATGTAATTACCCAGTTTGCTCCAATTCAAACGCTTATACAGCCACTTGTACCGGCTATAAGGGTCTTTAAGAGCTTTCCCTTTAATGGGTTCTTAGTGTTTTTGACTCTTTATTTCGTTGTTGTGAGGAACACGAATTTCAGTAGGTACGTTAGGTTCAATACAATGCAGGCTATCGTGCTTGATGTGCTACTGATTTTCCCTGATCTTCTGGAGAGGAGTTTTAATCCGAGAGGTGGATTAGGATTGGATTTGGTGATGAGCTTGGATAGTACAGTGTTTTTGTTCTTGTTGGTGTGCTTGATTTATGGGTCGTCTTCTTGCTTGTTGGGTCAGGTTCCCAGGTTGCCAATTGTTGCTGAAGCTGCTGATAGGCAAGTTCTTTGATCACCCATTTGACCATTTGTTGTTTATTGGTTCTGTGATTTTGTAATTGTTGGTAATTGATTTTGAAGTTTCACTCTTTATATAATTCAAATGCTTAAAATTTACTTGGCCAAAAAGAAAGAAAACTTAAGAAATGGGCCTTCTCTTTTCCTTGGTAGTGAGTTTTCTATTTGGCTTACACATGGTTGAGGCATTGTATATTCCTACTGGACAGATTCTTTATCATCTTAGTAGAGATTAAACTTTAGTATTTGATCTCCTTTCGGGTGAAACATAGAGAGGGATTAACGGAGGAGAAATGTTGAATGAGGAATATTTTTCAGTTGCAGTTTTGAACAACTACCCATAGCCCCCATATAGCTTCATGAATGCATTTTTTATATATCATCAGTTGATGTTACTGGTTGGTTTCCTCTTGTTATTTAGAGAGATTTTAATTTGTGAAATGCTACTCAGGCTAGAAACTGATATGTTAAGTATAGTTAAGAGTTAGTGATTAACAAAACTTTTTTTCAGAGGTCATTTTAACCTCAGAAATTTGAGGACCTATTTGTTTGGAGGTTTCTGTCTGGTTCACGAATCGAAGAATGTTAATAAGCTCAAAAGCTCACAAATTTAATTGCGATAACTAGCTTTTTAGTCATTTAGATTATAATATCTAAAGAATAACTATTTCCGAAATCATAGCCTAGTGATTAGATACTAGTGTGTATATAGCTCACGTTTTAAGTTAGATTCTTAAATAATATCACCCTTAGGAATTTTGAAAATGGATAGAAGTTATTTTTAATAGACGCATACCATTTGTTTGTTTGTTGCAACATAATTAGAAAATGGAATGACCAAAGAACCATGAGTGTGCCATTCTTGTCCTCTCTGTACTATATAACTTATCATCTTCATCTCTTTATTGTCTTTCTTCGTTTATGCAAATTAACAAAACCATATCATGGGAAAAAGAATTGCATGTGATGATGTGAAATCTTAACTAAATATTTGTTGAATTCCCTCTGAAATTTGCAAGTCCATGGTTTCAGAGCTTGTGTTCTTTCTTGTGGAGACAAGAGTAGTAAATAGGTTTTTCATATGTTATAAGGATGCTATTTTCAACTCCTTGAATATTACGCTTGGTTTAAGGTCACATAAAGAATCTGTTTTCATTTGGCTTGTAGCGGAGTTATATATTTGACTCATGTATATAGCATGTGCAGGGTGTGAATTCCAAAGTTTTTGTCAACTATCCTTTAGAGTTTCGTCTCATATGGGCAGTTTGAATTATTGAAAAACCAAATTTAGTGATTTGGTCTGAGTATAGGGTATAAACCAAACCAAACTTATCTATTTACACCCCCTACCTTAATGCCCACATGTAATCATCCATGAGCTCAAGAGAAAAGGTGTAAAGATCAAATGGGTGGCTCTAAGTGTTTGAAATTGAGTAGGTGGAATTTTTTTTCAGGGTAAACTAGGGTCAAGTATTGTTATCACAATGGTATGCTTATCCGAGGAAACTGGATTGTACTTGATTAAGTACTATACATTGCATATTAGCATAGGATCTGATGATTGTAGAAAGACATATTAGGAAACAGTATTGACAAAAACTATGAAACAGCATGGAAACAAAACATATGGTAGGCATGAATGAGGCTAAAACTCTAGTCCGCAAGCATGTCTTTGTGATGAACTCGGATCAGCTGCAATGGACATAGTTTATGACAACCTGTTATAATGATGAATCCTTTTAGGACATTTCTACCGTGAATATTATGATTGTAACGGTTCCAAAAATTTAGAAAACATCTGGATGTCATGGTTGCGATGGTGGAAAAGCTGAAAATTAAACTTAAAAAACAATGCTCAAAATTATTAGGGAGGAAGAATTTATGTTTGAAGAAATAGACAAGGGAAAGAACTTGTTGAGCTGAGAGAAGAAGATAGATTGGCACAGGCAAATCTCTTAACATACAACTAGAATATCCTTTTGTGGTGTGGCTAATGGAAATGTCATTTTTTGAAATGGATGTATATTATATTATACGTACAATTATATGAAGGATACAAGCTTCTGGCTTCATTTGATACCTGATTATTGGAGTGGGTAGAAAAATTTCTCCACCATATTTGTTATATAATTGGGTGGGTAGAAAAATCCTTTCTCATCTCATACCATCTCTGTAAGATATAAATTTAACAACAGATTAGAAAATATTATATGTAAAATGCATTAAAAGTTTTTTACTTTATTTGTTCAAAGCATCAAGATGAAGTTAATTAGGAGATTGTCATTCCTTACAAGAATCTATTCAACAGACCAGAATATATATATATATATATATATATAATTGTAATGTTTCTGCACTGCCAATTGAACTGAAGTGGGTTAATGAGATAAATATCTCTTGATCACCATATTTTAAGGCCTTCAAATATTTGTTAATGGTGGGTGATATTTGCATGACTCGGCAAATTGATTAGATACAGGTAATATGTGAGCTATATTTTTCATACTTACACTAAATTTAATCTGGGTAGGTAAGAAAAATTTTAAGAAGAGACCTTAATTTTCTCCATCATGACTAATTTATTCTTTATATATATATATATATATATATATATATATAAATAATTAATCAAAGACAGGCGCCTAAGAATATTTGAACTAACTACTTAATTATATATAATATTATATATATGTGAATTATAAACAAAGCTGCCTATTGGAACCAACTAACTTGATTATATATAATCTTATTTTTAGTATAATCCATTTAACCATGCAAGATATTCAAATAATTAGTCAATTTTTAATTTTTCTTATTTGACTTTTTGTAACTTTAGTGCTGTATTTTTTAGTGATAATTTAAAATAAATTATTTATTTTAATAAAAAATATAATTATTATTTAATTTTGAGTATTAATTATTGGTCAGAAATTTATTAGAGAGACTAATTGTTAATTAAGTATTTTCCATCCATGTTATCATCAGAAAATTATTTTATTAAATTCATAAACGAAATAAAATAGGCTTAGGAGAGAACAAATCTCAACCGTTGAACATTGCATCGTGTTTCCAATCAAGCCATCCACCAAATTGTCGGTGGAGGATTTTGCTGACGTCGGACGATCGATTATGAGCCGTTTATGTGGCCAAAAGAAATGCCAGCTGGCACGTTTTGGAGCCAGTGTGACCAGGCCCCACACAACCCCTTAATCATCGGACTAGATTACCCCCGGATTTAGCTAAAACTACGAAAATACCCCAACCTGAAATCTGTTGACCAATCAGACCGTTATGATTCTCTGCTTCAGCGCCGACAGTCGCGCTTCCAAACTTACTTGATGTCAACAAAATGGACGATGCTGATTTCTTCGGATGATTCGAAGGATTGACGGCCAACGATTGGCGATCATCATGATACTTTTGTGCAAATACACCACACCCGATGATATTCCGAACGGGAAAATGTAAGATTGAATAAAAGAAATTATTTGAATTTATATTTTATTTATAATTTAATTTATTAAGAATGTATTTTAAAATACATCTTTGGAATTTAAAATAGACACAACATACATGCCTAGAAAATCATTATATCTCACTATGTGTGTTATTTTTTACAAATTTATTTTAATTTAATACCCGTTTATTTTATAAAATTGTTCGTTTTAAATTATATATTACAAAATATTGAAATAAATAAATAAAACACGATAGCGTAGAATTCCGAATTATTACAATTAAAAAATACGTTATATAATTTAATGTAATAAAAAATATATTAAAATTTAAAGGATTAAAAGCTTAAATTTATCTCTAAAATCATATTTTTTTAATTTATATTTTAAACATAACAAGTGTAAATATATGTCACACTTAATTTAAATACCAATAATAATAAAGGATGATTTTGGAGTTTTGGAAATGTGGTTTATAGTATATTCCATACTTGTAATGTTTGTATTTAATTTTTGGATGCTTTGATTTTCGATGAAGAGATGCCAATGCACGTGGTGTGTTTATTCACTCATACCCAAAAAGTCTCTCAACCCTTTTACTCTTCTTTTTTAAGCCACTATAAACATCATACCACACCTTTTAACAACTTCTCAATTGGATTTTAAAAAATTAAATAGATTAAAATTTTTATATTTTATTTAAAAATTACAATTTTAAACTTATTAAAAACATAAAATTTATTATTTTATTATGTATACGTTATAAGTTAATGATAACTGATCTATAATATTCGATTTGATACAAGTACAAATTTATTTTATTAATGTGTCGACGTGTATCTGTAATAATTATATTATGATAAATTTAAATAAATTTATAATTAAAAAAATATTTTATAATAATTATATTCTTTTATATAAAATACTTATAACAGATTACAAATTTACTTGTAAGAAAAATATATTTAAAAAAATAATATGATATAATTTTAACATTATTATGCAATAATGAATAACTAACAAATTAATTAATGTTAAACAATTAAGATTAAAAAATATTTACTTAGGAGGGTACCATATTATTTTCCTATAAAATATTAAACTCATTGTTTAAAATAAAATATTAAAAAAAATTGAAAAATTATTTTTCTTATAGCTAATTTTGTACAAAATTTTACCAAAAGATACTATTTTTTTCTATTTAATTTAATAAAATAAACAAATATTTGAATAAATTTTGATTACAATATAACTTAATCAATGAATAATTTTCGTATAAAATTTTACTGTAAGTGAGAGATAAAAAAAATGTAATAAATATTTTAATAAATTAAAGTAACATAGAATCATTTTTAATGTAATAAATTTGTCTTGTTGTGGAAGTTAATTCCTGATTTTGCAATATAGTTTTATAATTTTTTTTCCCATATAATGCTACGTGCATATCTAATCTTATCAATTTGAATTGTAATCTTGTATAGTTAATTTTAGTTGGTACCCAATTTTTTTAAAAAAATATGAATTGTAAATATATAATATAAATAGAGATTTATCTGTCTCATGAAATAGATAACATTAATTAAACTTATAAAATTTTAAATATTTTGATTCATGTTAGTTTTTATTTTTTATGATAAGAATTTATAAATTTATACACTCTGAAACATATTTAAATACTTTTAAGAAATATATAATTTTTAATGCTAGCTAATATATTAACTACATTTGTTAATATAGATTATGAAAATTATGTTAATACAACTATTACATGATAATCTATGGCTAAATACAACTAATATGTTAATTTTCCAAAGGTGAAGAAAATAAATAAAAGGTTGGTGTATCTTATGATTCCAGCTAATAAATAATAATAATAATCCATACTTATATGCTAACTTCATAATGAAATAAAAGATTATTATAAATACAAATGGCAATATTGTAATAATTGATTAAAGTATGTCCTTTTTCGTTTTCCCCTTAACTGCTATCTTCTTTCGCTCTCAGACTGGCTTTAGCTGTAACCGTGTTTTGAAAGGTTAGCCACAACCACAGAAGGAAAGAAGACGATGGCAATATTGTAATTTTACTTAAATCTAAGTCTCTTTTCATGAACCCATCTTTCCTCTCTACAAAACTCACACTTCCCCAAAACCTCAGACTGGACTCTCTCTCTCTCTCTCTCTCTCTCTTGCCATTGTTGAAGAAACTTAGCTCTGTTTTCTCTGTTGCAGAGAGAGTACCGAAGCAGGAACAGTGGATTACAGTACAATGCAGGCGATGAGGAATCTTCTCTCAATCTTCTTCTTCTTTCTCATTTCCTTCTTCCCCAACCAATCTCGCGCTCACAACATCACACGTATCCTGGAAAAGCATCCAGACTTCTCTACCTTCAACCACTACTTGACGGAGACTCATCTGGCCGCCGACATCAACCAGCGCACCACCATTACTGTCTGCGCTCTGAGCAACGACGCCATGGCGGAAGTGCTGTCTAAGCACCTCTCTATCCACTCCATGAGGAACCTCTTAGCCTTCCATGTCCTCCTCGACTACTTCGGTGCGAGGAAGCTCCACCAGATCACCAACGGCACTGCTCTCGCCGCCACCATGTTCCAGGCCACCGGAACCGCGCCGGGCTCCACCGGATTTGTCAACATCACCGACCTTAGAGGCGGCAAGGTGGGTTTCGCGTCTCAGGACAGTGAGGGAACAATTGATGCGTTCTTCGTTAAGTCGGTGGAGGAGATACCTTACAACATCTCCATCATTCAGATCAGTAAAGCCCTGCCGTCTGATGTCGCAGAGGCTCCGACACCAGGCCCCAGCGACCTCAACCTCACTGGCATTATGTCTGCCCATGGCTGCAAGGTGTTTGCAGATACTCTATTGGCTAATCCTGATGCCGCCAAGACTTACCAGGTATAGCATGTATAGTATACTGTGAAATGTTAAATCCTTGAAATGGTTTTCATGTCTTGGATAATTTTTGAGCTTTCAGTTACATTTTTTTATTGTTTGGTACACATTTTTGAGCTGAAATGCTTTTGAATTTGTTGGCAGATTTGTTAAACTGGTGGATCCCATTAAACACTTGATTTGTTTCTTTATGGGTTCTTGGAAACCATACATATAAATAAAATGAAAGGGTAAAAAGATTGAAATCCGGCTTCTAATGTTTGGGTTTGAAGAAGTCGGGTTGTTGCACGAGATTTATGAATGGCTAGAAAAAAGCTAAAGAGATCTTGAAAATAGAGAAGTGTAAAAAGGCTGTTTTTTTTTTTTCTTTTTTT